AATCTCACTGGGGTTCCCCCCTTATAATGCTTAATAGGTTAAAATCATCATGATGATATGTTTTCTGTGTGTTTGAGAAGATTAAACAAACAGAGTTGGGATCAAATTCCTTAGCAGAGCAGCTGTCTACTCACTGTGTGTTAGAGGCTCTGAATGTTCTGTAGTGGTGTTTGAGAGGGGACAAGGGGTAGGATCGGCAGGGGGGTGTTGGTGTTAGTGCTGGCTCCTGACTGACTGACTAGCACTGGAAGTGCATCATTACTTGTGATGAAACCACAAAATGAAGACCCAGCCTTCTTCACACCTTGTGGCTTTTGGAGAAGCTGCTGATGAATGTGGTTTGGACTGTTAACTGAGGAGCAGCACTTCAAACAGCAGCCAGTCACTGACCAAGACATCAGTAATGGAGGGGCACTCAGGGGGAGACACCCATTTTGAAGGTATTTCCCTTCCTGTTGTAAACAAGTGGGCCCCTCAATAAGTGACAACCTAACTGTCTATGGATAGACACTGAGTGAATTAGGTAGAGCACTTAGCAGTCTTCATTGGAAGACTATTTGCTACCATAGAAAAATGCTTCTGATATGCTCTTAAGTTTCTGAAGTGTATGAATGGCATGATTTTAACATAAGAACATTTTAAACTCTCAAACTAAAAATCAGAAAACTCCAGAGATTACAAAGAAGAACAGCAAAGTGATATTGGTAGTTATGTAGTAGTTATAGAATTGGCTCTTTCTCTTTGAAATTTTGTTTTCCAAATTTTGTAGTGTGTTTTGTAACACCTTTAAAAAGGAAATAGAGAGGGCTGGAGAGACAGCTCAGTAAGTGAAATGCTTGCTCCACAAGCCTGAGGACCTGAGTTTGAACCCCAGCACCCATATAAAAAGCCACAGTTGTCCATGCTTGTTATCCTAATGCTGGGGAGATGGAGACAAGAAGACCCTTGGGGTCTACTGGCCGTCCAATCCAGCCTACTTAGAGAGCTCCAAGCCGAGGAGAGACCCTGTCTTTTTTGTTTTTTGTTTTTTACTTTTCTTTTTTTAAATTTTTTAATTGAATTTTTGTGTATTTCATATAGAAAATCATCTTTATACCCCCTTCCCCTTTGGCACTCTCCCCTAGCCCCTCACCTACTGGAGTTCATACCTTCTGTCATGTGTTAAGGCCTATCATGTAAATTAGTGTACCCAGATGTCCCTCAGTGCAAGTTCATCCACTGGGATCTAGTCAGTGTCTAGAGTCCCTCCCTTTAAGAAGATGGGCTCTTCCTCACCCAGCAGTAATCCGCTGCCAATAATTCTTCGACCAAGATTGGGGCCTGCTGTTCATTTCCACAGTGCTGTGCTGGGTTTTTGTCTGCTTAAGTTTTCATAGGTCTTGTACATGCTGACACCATTGCTATAGGTTCATATGAGAAGAGTCCTAGGAGCCTCTAGGACTGTTTCCATATGGTTATGCACCTCCTCCTTGGCTCTTACAATCTTTCTGCCCCCTCTTCTGAAATGGTCCTTGAGCCCTGGGTGGGTGGATTTTAATATAGGAATCCTGTCCAAGGACCCACACTCTGCAGACTTTTATTCTCTGCATTTGGCCATTTGTGACCTTTTGTGTTCCTGGCCCTCTGTTGCATGAGGGAGCTTCATTGGTGAGAGTTGAAAGATGCATTAGTGTTCTCTTCATCCCTTGTTCTATGTTCCATGAGCCTTAGGTGTAGAGGTTGCATCCTAGATGTGCCACTTGGGCTTGGGCAATTCACAGACAATCTCTGTGTGTGACCAGTTGTGGAACTCTGTAACTATCTCTGTCTTTTGAAAAAGAAGCTTATTTGATGGGTGATGACTGGATTTAAGGATCCATACTTTGCACATAGTAAGAAATTACATTGGTCTAGGGATGTGACAGCCTTAGAGTTTTCTCTAAGATTTATGACCTCTCCAGCTATGTGTAGTTGGCTAGGTTTACAGTACCACACATGAGTTTCCTCCCACAGAGTGGGCTTTAAGTTCCATTAGGTAGCTGTTTGATTATCCCCAAGATAAAAGTGCCACTACTGCACCAATGTTATTTGCTATGCTGATCATTGATGTGGTTTTTAGGCCTTGAAGTTGGGGTTGGACCATCGATTGATATTCTCCCTTAGCACCTTGCATGGTGCTCTCCAAAGCTGTGAGAGCTAGCCTTCAGGGGAAGTGGCTTCCAGGTCAGTTCCAGCTCTGTTGCTCCAAATCCTGTGACCAAAGTATGTCCTATCTTCAGCAATAGGGTCTTACCATTAAGTCCTGGGAGGCAATCAAGGGCTGTATCAATAGCCTGTATAATTTTGGGAGTCTCTTGGACTACCCTGGTCAACAACTCAAAGAAAGGTTTCTCCTGTCTGGCAGTGTTTCTTGTTATGTAGCCTTCAGCTATACTTATGGACTCATGTAGAGAGGTTGAATGTGTAATTTTTCAGTAGGGTTTTGGACTAATACCTTCCCTCTGAAAGACCCTGTCTTAAAAATCAAGTGGATGGTTTCAGAGGAATGACCTCTTAGGTTGACTTCTGGCTTCTATGTGCTATGATCTGTATATACATATTCAGCACGTAGACACACATGCATATACATGTGTAACAAATGATCCATCTTTTCTCTCCAGTGCATGCAGGCTTGAACATCGTAACATGGCCTTTGAAACTGTCTTGAAACTCTGTGTCAGGTCTAGTTCCAACAAACGAATCTAGTTTAACTAAATTCATACGGTAGAACCCAATAGAACAAGTTTTTTTTTTTTTTTTTCAATCCACCTGGCATTCATTTAGAATGAGTTCTTTTTCATTCCTATAGCACATGTGGAAAGTTGCTCCATTTTCTTGTAGGTAATATAGGACTGTACCTATGATGTGGGTCCATGCCCAGAAGACAAAATTCATTCCCTTTACTCACTGCTAGAAACTGACAGAGGTATAATACTGCAAGCCTCAAGATTCAGTTATTTATAAGCAACTGGGCAGGAAGGAAATACTATCAGCAAGGAAGTTTGAACATTTACACCTGTATGAACCTTGCAGGACATTGCTCAGAAATGAAGAAAATATTGATAGTTTAATATACATATTATTACAAAAGCCTTAATATTCTAGGAAAGAGCTCCTGTTTTGCACAAAATGAATCATTTCACAGCATTCGGAGAGTTGCGTGATACATCCCCTATCTGAACCTGTGTCTTCAGATAGTAACAGGGGCTCTCTTTTGGTAGAAAAGATATAGTCATCTAAGTGTATGTTAGAAATTCTGGATGAAAAATGTGAAGGAATCAGTGACACCAGCTCTGAACCCCATTTTAAAATGTGACAATCGGGGCTGGCGAGATGGCTCAGCAGTTAAGAATACTGGTTATTCTTACAGAAGACCTGGGTTAGAATCCCAACACCCACATGGCAGCTAACAACTGTCCGTAACTCCAGTTCCAGGGGATCTGACCTCCACAGGCATTGCATGACACGGGTGCACTTACCTACATGCAGGCAATACACTCATACACATAAAAATAATAAATAAAAATAAAAATAAATAAAATAAAATGTGACAATCAAGGGACGTGAGATTATCTGAGGAAGATCACCCGCTTTCTTGGTGTCAGATCAGAATGATAACTTTGCTTCTAATCCAGTGATTTGTTCACAGGCTCTGCTTTTTTTTGCCCAATATTTATGGGGGATCCTTAAAATTACCTAGATATCAAATAGCAATATGTCAAAGAATGAAATACACAGAAGTGCAAAGACTATTATTATTCTATGTATCTTCCCCTGAGACCTAATTATATAATAACCACCAAAACCAGTTTCAGAAAGAAGCCCATTGTTTGTGAGGCCAATGTCACATAGTTTTCAAACCTGGTCTCCCCACTGTCTAACCTGAGTCCTTCATGTTAAAACATCAGCATCACTCCTTCCTTTCATTTAGTCTTGTGGCAGCTCCTGTTAATAACCTTGGGCTATTGATTTGCTGCAGGTGAATCAGTGATTAATGCCCACTTTGTTTGTTTTTGTGTAGATTTCAATGGAGATTTTTAGGAGACTTAAAACAAATAGAATAAATACCACAAAAGAGAAGATTCTCCTGATTGCCTTCTGGACAGACACTACATTCTAGAACATTTTAAAGGTTTTCAAATTAAGAAGTGCAGAACTGATGATTGTAGGGTCTTTATGTTTCACTGTCCTGGTTCACAGGATTGCATGTTTGTACTCCACCAAGAAGAGTGAACTGTAACAGAAAACAGTGTTTACAAGGCAGCGATTTTTGTTGATTATTTCAGGCAAATTGTCTCAGCCATATACTTAAAATTGAGTTTCTAGGACTTCCTGTAATTTTTATTACAGTGGTGTGCATGTTCTGACCCTGCCTGGGAAGTAGGACAGGTGGGTGAAAACAAAGTGTTCCAAATTCCACCAGAGAATTATGTTTGTTCTGATTTTTCGAAATCAGCAACAAAATGCACTCCATTCTGAATACTTAGACAGTCTCTTGGCTAATTAGCCTTATTATTTGCATGCAGACTTAGGGTGAGAACTTTTTATGAATGGTCTTTGTTACCCCTGGAATCTTGGATGTGAGGAGGGAAATAGAGAAAAAACTACAGAGATATGTTTGAATTCCATAATCTTAGGGTGTAAGAGTGAACAGGAAAAGAGAATTTCCTTTGAAATGTAGACTCTGAATTCCTGTCTGTAAACTACAATCTAATACTTCTCTTTGGGCTGTTGTAGTTCAATTAAAAACCTATGAAAACAAGAATTTTTCTGTAAAAGTCAGTATGGGACTGGGAATGTAGGTCAGTGGTGCCACACCTATCAGGTGTAAAGCATGAGTTTAGTCCCTAGCACTGCTCCCCCCAAATCAGTATGGAACTGCAAATGAGGAGAATTTAGCCTATTGTTTGTTTTTTCCCCCAGTGGGGGTTCTATTACTAATATAAATAGAGGAATACTGACTCCTTGATTTTTCTTTTCAGCTACTCAGTGACTGTGCAAGAGTCATACCCACATCCCTTTGATCAGATTTACTACACCAGCTGCACCGACATCCTAAACTGGTTTAAATGCACGAGGCACAGGTAATAGACGCTGGGATATTTCTGACACCTGTGAATGGAATCTGGTACAATTTGAAACATCAACTATCCAAGTGAACAATTTCTAGGGGCTTGGTGCTGTCCTAGATTTGATTCTGTGCCCAGGGGACACAGGCAGGCTGAGGTAACCCATAATCTGTGGGAGCTTATGATCTAGCTACAAAGTACACACTGATTGTCCTCCATGTTATCAAAAAAAAAAAAAAAAAAAAAAAAAAAAACTTCATTGGGGCTGGAGAGATGGCTTAGTGGTTAAGAGCACTGGCTGTTCATGCAGAGGACCTGGGTTCAATTCCCAGCACCCACATGGTGGCTAACCACTGTCCAGAACTCCATTTCCAAGGGATTCTGATGCCCTCTTCTGTCAGCCTCTGGCATTGCATCACATGGGTACACTTACATGTTGGCAATACACTCATACACATAAAATTAAAATAACAAATAAAAAACAACAACAACAAAAACCTTCATTCAGCTCCTGCATGGGACATGACTGGGTGAAACACTCTTAACTATGGCCATTATTAGATACCAAGAAACTCACATCTCAGTGTCTGTTTCTAGTTGAACACTAGATTCAGTCTATGCTTGAATTTAATATTTAGGTTATATGTGGATATATTATCAATATGAAATTGGAGGCAAAAGAATTTACACTCAGAGAGAGGGGAATCCCGATTCCTTAATTTTAGTAGTTAAATATTTGCAGCAGTATGAATTATGGATTGAGTGTGGCACCTGTTATTTTATGATCTAGTTATTTAATTTACATCTTTATTATGCAAATTTACCAGCTCTGTCTTCTCTGGTGAAAGTGTGATTTCTTTGAAAGGAAAGTCTTTATATTGTTTTTCTTTTTGCTATTCCTAACTACCTAAAATAGTGCCTGCAGTGTGCTAACTGCTTAATAAACACAAATAGCTTTGAGTCAGTGCGTGAATGATGCTTTAGTTAAATAGGATAGCACAGTTAGCCTTCTGTTTTATAGGAGGGTGAAACTATGCTAAAAATTTAAAGAAGTTCTCTGAATTCTTTCTTTGAAACATGAAAATTAATGATATTTAGATGGACATCATATATGGAATTAATCAATACTTTCACATTATTTCAAGATGAGTTGAAATAGAGAGAGCATGAAACTTCTGATGACTTGAAATAAAGATCAAATTGGCTTGAAGAGAGAATCTTAATATACTCTTAGCAGCAAACTAAGCAGTTAAAATAATATTGCTTAGACCTGTATTCTGTTTCTTGTTTAGAAGCACTTTGCCTTGCAAATCTTTATTATCACTAATAGCTATTTTTTAATCAAAGTAGAAATTATTTCTGATTAAATTGTCAGCTAGAACTAACAACATAATCTTTTTCTCCTCTATATAGAATCAGTTATCGGACAGCCTATCGCCATGGCGAGAAAACTATGTATAGACGCAAATCCCAGTGTTGCCCTGGATTTTATGAAAGCCGGGACATGTGTGTCCGTAAGTCGCATGTTCATCCCTTTCTCCTGCTCTTGCATTTCCAGTTCTGGTCTGCCTCTGTGTGTGCCAACTGAGCCGGGGGCTTGGGAGATGCAGCATTTAGTATCTCCTTTTGTTCCTGGCTGCTGGTATCTTGGTTTATATAGTGAGAGAAGCACTAACTTTGTCCCCATGTCCTACCCAAAATATCCAAAATGAACAGTACTTAAGGAGAAAACAGCTGTTATAGAAGATGATTCAAAGCCAGATGTGGCCATGTTAACTAATTTTTCAATAAATGTCTTGTTGGAAATTGGTTAAGGAGCCACTGGACTGAGGTCACAGAAACATCCTTTTCTGTTGGAGCTCACTTCCAAGAGGCAAGTGTGTTCCTTTGGTTCCCAGAATGGCCAGGGGAGTTTCCACATGAGGAAGTGACAGTATGTCTGGAGCACAAAGTATAAGCACATTTTTGTTGCCATTTTCCATCTCTCTACTGAGTATCCTATGCTTCCCTATGAGAAGTCTGGAGAGAGGCCTAGTGTTTCATAACACACTTCAGAAAACAGTAGATCGTATTGGATACATGTTGTAGTGGACGTTTCTTATTATTATGCATAAGTCACTTAAACAAGACAGCATGAAGAACTATTTTATTCAAGTATTTTGACTGAACACACAGCTGTAAGGCCACCTCCCCTTCTGAGTTGAGACACTGATTGAAGACATTGACGATACTGACACTTCTGATACTGAGACACTGGTAGAGACAGAGTTCTGCTGTAGCCAGGAGGCAATAGGATCTGTGCTGATAGATAGCACAGGCTCTGCCAACCACTCAGCTAAGTCATTTACCTCTGCGAGGCTCTTGAGTTGTCTCAGACAGGACTTAGGTTACGACCTGTTCACCTTCTCCCAACCTTCAAATCTGTTCTTCATGCAGAAAACAGCAGCTCCTCAACTTTAACTCAGAACCACAACTATATCTGATGATAAACGTTCATAGAAAACAAAAGCTAACCAAAAAGAAAAAAAAATCAAAATATATAGTGAATGACCCTCCCAGTCAGTAAATGTGCTCTGTGAACAGCAGCATTATTGCATCGCAGAGATCTTTAAAGTGTTGGATATTTACGTGGTTTCCAAGTTGTCTCTATCTTGAACTTCTCCACAAACTCTCCTTATGGTTAAATAATTGTTCATATCCTTCATTAGGTAAGGCTAAATTCCTAGAAGTAGAATTGCTAGGCTAAACATGCAGCTATCTAGACTGTTTCCAGTTGATAGACACACCATTAGGTAATGGGGATACCTTTTAGCTGTGACAATTTTTTCTTAATGTGCATGTTTTTATTAATGAATAAAAACATTTTTTATTTTATTATTTATTTTATTATTTATTAATGAACAGAAAAATTGCATATTTGTAATCCAATAGAACAATCAGGAACTGATCTCAGTGGCCTTGGCTGCTGTGAAGCTGTCAGGAGGAAGCACTGAATATACAGTGTTGGCTGTGGAGGCCCTGCTGACTGGGCTGGCTGTCGTCCAGAGGATGTGGGCGATGTTATTTTGATAGCCTTACTAGGGTTGAGGCTCACAAGTGCAGTTATCAACCCATTCTGAGACACTCAGTAGTTCTGTACCCAGATGGTTGGACTTCTGCATAGACACTCTACACTGAGCTTGGGGAGGTTCCCAGGCTCTTGATTCTGGCCACATGTCTAACTCAGTGTTTCTGGGGCCCAGCCTTCTGCAGCCCAGCACCTCTGTTATTTTATTCATGAGTATAGCCCTTCTTGGAACGTTAGACAGGTCTACTAGTACTATCATGCTTGGAATAATGTTGGTAAAAATAAAGCTTTATCTTCTACTAGACTTGGTTGCAAAGCATTCCTTGGAGTCAATGGACAGACACCTTTAGCAATCATTTTCTAGGCTTTCCTAGTGGACCAGCTGCCCCTAGAGGCAGAGGAAATCTTTAGATATGTTAATATATTTTTCAGTTTACTATCTGCTCTCACTGGCCTGGGAGCTAGGTGGTCTCTTTAACGGTACATTGCTTTTCTCAGGTCTGAACTTTTTACTTCCTTACTGAAACCCCTGAGAGGAATGACGTCCTTCTTCTCATCCTGGTGATGGGGGATGCCTCCCAGGAACTCTTCTCTGCTCTAGATGGTGATATGAGGCAGGTACTCCAGAGGTGAGAAGGAAGAGAGCACAGGAGTCTTCGCTCTGCTTCCATGATATCTTTTTCAACCAGGTCTTGCAGCATCATCACCATTTTTAACTGTTTCCAGTTACAGAAAGGAGTGGAAACAGGAATTGGGTCTCATATTAGTTTAATTTTTTTAGTTTACCTGGAAGGCAAAAACGGATGTTTTCATACAATTACCTGCATTTGAAAACAAATTTCTTTCTGTCAGCTGAACTATCTCTGCCAGGAGAAATGGTCTCAGATATCCCAGGCTGGCCTGAAATTTGCTATGTAGCCTAGGATCACCCTGAACCTGCAGAGTGCTGAGATTACAGGCATGTTCTGCCGTGTCCAGAAACTTAATTCCACATTCACAGCTAGGGAGGTCTGGAATTTGGCTTCATGGAGATCCCACGGAAGCTCTCTCAGGATGTACAGCAGAGGCAGCAGAGGACTTGGAAGTGCACTTCATTCTGTGAGCCCTGGGGATTGTTCTTGTGTTGGGAGCACAGTGAGGAGGCCTACCCTGCTTCCAACAGCAATGCTCAGGTGGAACCTCTGGGAGGCTGGGCACAAAGCTATGTATTTCCACTGAATTTTGAGGTTATGCAGAATCTGCTGGTGCACAGAGCACACTTTGAGTAACAAGGCTTCTGTCCGGGAGACAGATGAATGTCATTAGGGAAGAAGAACCCTAATCAAGAGGCATAGTGTGGTCAGAGCCCTTTCTAAGAGTCTGGTTGGGAAAAAGAAGAAATTAAATTCTTTACAACATGAAGATATGAAGATATCTGTAACACCTTGAGATGTTTTTACTCTGTAAATTGTAATGAAATTGCTCAGCAATCTTTGGACTGGCATTTTTGTCTGATCCAATATGTTTATTTTTTAAAATACAATATTAAGCATTAACAAAAAATGTCCAGGAAAATTAAATCATTTTAATGTGTGTAGATGTATATATGAGTATTTATTTGTGCATCTATGTGTTTGCTCATGTATTTATGCACATGTACAGGTCCTTATTTTCCATGTTACATAACTGATCTGTTATAAAAGCACTATTGATTAAAACCTCAGGTTCTTATACCTAAATGTATACTGACTGAAATATAGTCAAATACATTTTCATTAATATATACTAGCTTTTAGGATAAATATTCGTTTGGATATACTGTTGTTTTCCGTGGTTCTTCAGATCATACAGTTAGTGTTTTCATTTTCCAAATTGATCTTAATGAATAGGTGGGCACTATAGTAATATCAGGGACATGAAAAGATAATCAAGAAAAAAAGTGTGGTCCATATTTTCAGCATAGATTAGAGAAACAGACAAGTTAAACTTAAAGTTCCAAAATCACATGCTTTATACAATATCTTTGGACAACAGCCTTAATTTCTCTGAACCTAACTTTCTTACCTGAAATATCAGTATATTCCTATTTGAGTCAAGTAAGATGTATGAAAGTGTTTTAAAAACAAAAGACTTGGCTGGCCAGATGGTAAAGGCATTTTTTGTCAAGACTGACAACCTGAGTTCAGTCTCCAGAACCCACATGGTAGAAGGAAAGACTGATTCCTGCAAGTTGTTGTGTGTGCATGAATCATTTAAAATATCTTTTCATAGACATGAGTGATTATGTTATAGACATAAGATATATTATGTTAAATAGAATTTTGGGGACAAAGACTACAGTAATTCATTTTATGATATTGTAATGAAGTACCTGGGTCAGGCTGCTTTATAAAGAAGAGAGGTTTATTGGCTCTGGCATTGGCTCCCTGGCATTTGTTCTGACCTGATGAAGAGTCTCTTGACTGTGTCATGTGATGTGGGGGTGGTGCATGTGGACCAGACAGGAAGCCAGAGAGGGTGAGCTTTTAAAAAGAAATATATTTATTTATATTTTATGTGTTTTATGTGCATATATGCAGGTGTACCATGTGTGTGCAATGCCCACAGAGGCCAGAAGAGGGCATAGGATCCCCTGAAACTGGAATTAAGGACAGTTGTTACATACCGTGTATATTGGGGACCTGAACTAAAATCCTCTGCAAGAGCAAGCAGTGCTCTTAGTAGCTGAGCCATCTCTCCAGTTCTGAGGGTGATCTCTTATAATAACCAGGTTTTAAGATCTTTCTCAAAGAGAACTAACCAGAGTTCCATAAGAAATGCTTAATACCTCTAGAGGGCACCCCCAACCTTCCCAAACATTTCTATTAGAAGTCTTAGAGGCCTACACTATCTCCCCAAACTGCTGTCTTGAGGACCAAACCTCCAACATGAAGCCCCTTTGTGTGTGGGGGACACACAAAGATCATATCTAAAGCACAGCAAAGCGTTCACATACTGCATTCTGAGGGGTTAGATTTGGCTACAGGGTGCCCACAGAGGGCCAAGCCAATAGGGGACTGAGGTAATTTCTACCTTCAATCTACCATCTCTAGGTCTTTATTTTCATATACCATAGTTGACCTCCGCACATCAATCTTAGGTCGCAAGCAGCAGATGGAAGAGGCTTGAGAAAAAGCAAATGGCATTGCAGCTGTTGTCCGAGGCCACGCTGGAAGTGATCATGTTCCATTTCCTCTTGTACACTGTGGGTCAGGACTTAGTTACAGAGGTTCATCAAGCTCCAAGGATATCTGCATAATATGTTTCTGTGGGAAGAAGATGGTGGTTATTAGGAGGCAAGAATGATCCTAGCCACATATTAAATACTTATGTGTTTTGCTCTAAACTGCCAAATTGCTGTCTGGACAGGTTATAACAGTTTTACTTGCCTTCCAGTAATGTATGAAGGTGCCCATTTTCCCATGGCAC